ATCTATCTATCTATCTATCTATCTATCTATCTATCTATCTATCTATCTATCATCTATCTATCTATCTATAATTGTAAAGCCAGTGTAGTGGCAAGGTGTTGTGGATGACTCCATCTTTTTTTTGACATTTGACGGTCAATTTCAGATGAGCTCACTGTGTTTGTATAAGTATTTATACCTGGAAAATATATTATTGGTCTTAGAAAAATCACAATATTTCATTTTTTGTTTATTCAGGTATTCATTATTTTATATTTACTAGGCATAATTAAAAGAATGTGTTGACTTCTAGTGGTTGATAATGGAATAAAGTATGTTTTCTTATATTGAAGGTACTCAGAGCACACATACTACCATTGACTAATGTCGCATTTAACAAGTCAGGTTCATGGTAAGTTTTTTCTTTTTAGTTCTTAATATTTTTGTCATTTATAGTTATAGGATTATCCATTGTTAAGTGAATTCTGTGCTGGTGCATTATGTTAAAATGTACTTCATTTTATTATATTAAACATCCTTTTTTTTTTAAAACCTTCTGGCCCTAGTTTTAATGACTTTTTTTTTGCAACATGTAATTCATACTACTTTTAATGCTGACCTCAAGGGGACTATAATGATATACCTTTAAAGTAAGCAGACTAGATTCCCCTAGCCCTGGCCAGTTGGTCAATAAACATCATTAAGTACCTACTATGTGTTAGGCACTGTGCTAAACACTAGAGATACAAAAAAAGGCAAAAGACAGTCTGCTGTCAAAGAGCTCACAGTCTAATGGGGGAAACCTTGCAAATAACTTGTAAAAACAAGCTATTTACAGGATAAATTGGAAATAATCAACAGATGAAAGTCCCTAAAATTAAGAGGGATTGGGAAAAGCCTCCTCTAGAAGGTGACATTTTAGCTGGGACTTGAAAAAATCCACCAGGGAAGCAAGGAGGCAGAGATGAGGAGGGAAAGCATCTCTTTGGAAGAATGCTCACATGCTGGATCTGAATAAAACATGTATAGATTATCATTGTTTTGTCTCTCCTTCTGATATGAGCAAGAGGGTTGGAGGCTGTCAATATGTCCCATAAGGGTGTTAACATCTATGTGTGTTCCCTTGCAACTCAGGTGTTCTCCTGCCTGAAGCCTTTCTTTATCTTCCCAATTGTTGGTGCCTTCTGTCTCCTGAAATGATTTGGAACAAATGTATTTATCTGTATACATTCTGTGTCCCCCAGTAGAATGTGAGCTTCTGGAGAGCAGAGGCTGTTTTGTTTTTTTGTTTTTTTCTTCAAAATGTCTCAGCCCCTGGCCTGGTATCTTGCACATATATAGCATGTCTTAAGAAATGTTTGTTTTATCGATCAGTCCCTCCCAGCTTCATTCTTTCCAGATTGAAAATTTACATGGATATTTATCTAAAATAATAGCAGAAGGCATAATCCTTTATAAAGTATGTAAATATTTTAGGAAATAGTGATTTATTGGTGCTAATCTTTCCTCTCTGCTCTGTACCTCCCTTCCACCCTCCCAAGCATAAGTAGCATTTTAGGTGGTGTTTTCTTTGGTAGTGTTATCTTTTGTATTACTAGTGCTTTTCAGATAAAATATGAAGTTGTGAGTTAGTTTTGGTTCTGTTGTGTAGCTAATTAAACCAATTCCATTGAGGAACCAAAGTGAAAAAACACTTTTATGATCTACTGTTTTTTTAAAAAAAGAGTTAAATGGTATACTATATTATTTTCACCCCAATCTCTTTGCATTTCCTTTTTTTTTTAGCTTTATTACTGGTAGCTATGATAGAACATGCAAACTCTGGGACACATCATCTGGGGAGGAGCTGCACACGCTGGAGGGTCACAGGAATGTGGTATATGCCATAGCGTTCAATAATCCTTATGGGTAAATATAATTTAATTCAATCATCCACATATTTGAATTAAAATTGCAATAAGATTTTTGGGACACTGTATAAAGGCAAAGCAAATGACAGACACTCAGACCTGGTAAAGGATACAGCTTTGTTCAGTTTCATAAGTAGAGCCAACTATGGGCTAGACACTGTACAAAGCACCAGTAATTCAAAGTGAAGACAAAAGTCTCTGGAAAAAGTCTCTGCCCTTGAGGAGCTTATGGTCTAATATGGAGGCCAAAATATGCTTATCTCTAAGTGTATACATCACAGATGTCAAAGGAATATTTGAGGAGAGAGGCCCCTAACTTTGGAGGGTGTTAGGGGTGGTGGTGGATGTGATTTACCTAGGATAGGGCCTGTTGGGCATTCAAAGAAATATAAGACACAAATCCTTCCTCTAGAGGATTTTACATAGAATCTCACTGGGGAGATAAGACAAATGAAAAGTTAAATAAGAATACAAAGTAGTATATGATTAAGGGCCAGAGGAGTGATAATGGTAAGAAATGGAGAGTTCATATACAATTATCACTCTGATTGATTTTGGTCAGGGAAGACTCGGTTGATAATGGGAGCCCTTGAGATTGGACTTAAATAATAGATACAATTGGATAGTTAGGAGTAGGGAAAGCACTCTAGGTGGGTTGAAAATATTAAGTAGGTTGGAGAAGTAAGAATCAATAAGCCTTGTTGGGGAGACAAGAAGTAAACTCAAGTATATGTAATAGAGGATTCCTGTCAAGCAATAGGGGGAGGCAAGATTGGAAAGACAGATTTGGGGTTAGATTATGGAGGGCTTTGAATGTTGAGAAACAAGGCTGGAAGTATAGATTTGAGTTGTATTTGTGGTTGGCCTTAAATGCTAGGCTTACAGATTTGAACTTTACCTTGTTAAGAATGGCAGCCAGAGACAGTTTTTCAGTAGGGAGTAGCATAATGGGAGTAGCATCTTAGCATTCTACTAAGATGAATTAAGTGTGAGGGGTGGAAGTCAAAGGGTAAAAGCCTGAAAACAAGAAAGCACTCAGGAAATTTTTATGAATAATAAAGGTCTGGTAATAAGGGCCTGCATTAGGTAGGGACAGGAGGAATGGCAAAGAATTTTGTAACCTTTGATAACTGAACCTTTGTTCAGTCCTCTGATTCATTGAATTCTGATTCATTTTATTTGAATAAATTATTTATCATTCTTTTAGACACTTTGGGGGAATATATTCTTTTATATCTACACTGACCATATTTTACATCTGTCTAGTAACCTTTGATTTCCACTTAGAGCGTGGAAATTTTCTACTACCATTTTTCTGAAACTTTGTACCTTAGATATTGATGTAATGATACTAATTGTGAAATAAGGCCCACCTAAACTTAATTAGTGTATCAATATTTAATGTGTGTTTGAAAAATGATTAAATTCTTTCAGTTACATTTCAGATAATTTAATTCTGATCAATCTATGCTCGTTAAAGCAGAGAAAAAGCAATTTTTCACATTATTACACTAAATTGTAGAAGAAAGTTTTGTTGAAATGATAGCACATACCTCACAACTTCTGAAATAATTATTATTTCAATTATAATCCTTTTAAATGTTTGATTGTGTATTCTCTAGACTTTAGCACCATGTCCATCAACATTCCTCTTAATAGACTACTCAACTCTTTTTTCTTTGTGCCTGGCAAAACACCCTTTTGAGTATGGAGAAGAGAGGAATATATGTACACACACATACACATATATGTACACACATATACACACATGGACATGCATGTGCACATACACACACAAGAAGCTAGTGCCCTCTCTCAAACTATTCCTTTGACATCTGTGATGTATAGTCTTAGAGATAAACATACTTTGGCCTCCCTATTGGATGGTAGACATTTAATGGGAAATAGTAATTTTGACAGTTTTGTCTCAAGGGGGTGAGAGTAGGAAGTACCTCAAAATTTTGTTCAGCCCTCTGATTCTTTGAATTCTGATTCATTTTATTTGAATAAATTATCATTCTTTTAGACACTTTGGGGGAATATATTCTTTTATATCTACACTGACCATATTTTACATCTGTCTAGTAACAGCTTTCCAGATAGAATTTTTGCCTTTATTTATGCCCATTTAAAAATCATAGCAGTCATTATTTAAAGAATTTTCAGTCTTTTTAGATAAAAAAAATAATAGATTTTATATGTGAGCAGACCTTTTTATATTAATTTATGTGTCAGATACAAATCTAGGGTACTATCTATAGGTCTATGAATAAGGCACTTTTTCTTATTTTTATTAGTAGTTCCAGAATCATACATTATCTTTCCTTGTCTTTAAATAATTTATAGATGCTGAAATTTATTTTTTGCTATTAAGTAGAGTTTCCTCAATTTTAGTGACAAAATTGCCACTGGATCATTTGATAAGACCTGTAAACTATGGAGTGCAGAAACTGGAAAATGTTATCATACTTTTAGAGGCCATACAGCAGAAATAGTGAGTATATTTAAAATTCCATTGTATTTTTAAACATTGTGATTTTTTTTAGAGGTTCCCATGGAAATTAGCATGTTGCTGTGTTACAAAAATGTGGTTAATGATTCTAAGGTCCCTTCCAACTGTAACATTTTATTCTATTTTCTACCTTTATGGTTTTTTTTTATTCTATGCAATACTTTTCATATAAACATTTTGTATGAATGCAAACTGCAGCTAATTGATGCTAATACCATTTAAATCTAATTCATTTTAAGCTTAACATTATTTTTGTTATCTTTCAAAGAGCTCTACAATATATAGTGAATGAGTTTAAGAATATGTTATTTCTATCTTTCTTTTCAGTAGACGGCTGGTTTTCTGAAAGTTAAATTATTAAAATAACTTTTCTGGACTATGTAAAAAGCCTATAAAAAGTGTCCCTGATGAGTTGAGTATTTCTTTGTTATTCAATTCAGTTTAATTAAATAAAAGTTAAGTGAGGTGGCGTGGCATGGTAGATAGACAACCGGACATAGAGTCAGGAAGAACTGGATTTGAATCCTTTTTTCAGAAACTTACTAGCAGCATGACCCTGGGCAAATCCCTCGACCTTTCTGTCCTTAGTATTCTCTTCTGTAAACTGTGGACAATAATAATTTCTACCCCAAAGGGTGGTTCTGATAATCAAAACTTCGTAAACTTTAAAATGCAATGTAAATGGGAGCTATTATTAAACACCTGCTTAGCACAAGACCCTGTGGGACAGAGACAAAAGAAAACAGTCCCTTCCTTCAATGATTATTCTACTGGAGAATAAATGTATAAAAATAAATAAACACAAAGTGATTATGGAGGCAGAGGTGAGAAGGGAATGTTTGCCAAATGTGAAGAGCAAAGTGTTCAATGACTTGGAAGTATATAAGAGGATATTCTTTCTAGGAAACATATAAGGAGCTAGTCTGACTGAAACAGAGAGTATTAGAAAGAAAATGTTATGAAATATTCCTAGAAGTCTAGTTGGGAACCATATTATGAAAGACTCTAAATGCCGGACTGAAGACTGTATCTCCTCCTAGCAGCTTTAAGGAGCTACATAGGGAATCAAACCCTTACCTGTAGATGCTTTGCCCAAAGGAACATAAATTTTGATCTCTGAAACCTTACAAGATATCTTGGGGTTAGCGGGCTAATTTTTTTCTCTTCCCTATTTATTCTATCATTTTTTAAAAGTGGGACAATTAACTCTTGTAGTTTCATGTATGTACCTTCATTTATAATTTCTTGAAATAAAGCACTGGAAAGAAAAAAGGTTTTGATAAAGCCCATTGGGATTAAAGTAGAGCTACTTGACCATGCCTTAAACCCAAGTCACTTTGGTTCTCACTGATTCACCAACAAAAAGTCCCAACCCAAGCCTCACTTGGTCATTTTTTGGGGTTTTGGTGGCTCAGAGTAAGTGTAAATAGCGATTGTTTCTGTTCTGGCCAGAAACCCTGAGATTCTTTCCCTCCCAGATTGTATTTTTTTGAGTAGGTAAAAGAGGCCATTCTTTGCTTCATTTCTTATCTATCCTTAATCACTGAATAGGCATTGCCACAGACAAACTGATTCCTGAGAAAGACCTTAGCTTAAAAAGGCTAGGGTCTTCCACTGCATCCAAGCCATCTCCAATTGTCCTGAGAGGAGTAACAACTATGTTTCAAATTCCAAGGCTTGTAGCAGTGGAATATAACAGTTTCAATAATAACAAACTTTGCAAACAGTCAGGAGGAAAACCTTCAAACATGAAAGAAAGGCAATTCAAATAACTTAGAATTATTCTGCATTCCCAACAATTTATAAGGGAGTGGAATCATATTTCCATTCTTACTCCCCTCACCCCCTCACCCTAACCTCCTGCTGAAACAATCTGTGAATCTCTCTACCAGTGATTTGTGGTCTGTATTCAGATATTTCGGACACTTTTCTTCTTATATTTCCTGTTTTATGGTATACAGATTTTTTGATTGGTTATGGTTTTATATTGCTTTCTTTTACTTCTCTTCTAATAAAATTTTCTCAACTTCATTATTTTTGTGTTTCAAATCTCTTATTGTTTCAGAGCTTATGCTTCTTTGGAAAGATTCTCCATCCATCATGTATTAAATCTTTCCTATGCTGCTGTTTCTATTTAAATTTTTTTTTATCAAGAATTCTACTTTCTTATTTAAATTCTTTCCTCATTTCTTATTTTAAGACTTTTTTTCACTTCTGAGCCATTCTATAGTTTCTTACTATTGTTCCACAATCTTTAGGGAGTCTATAGGACTCTTTTCATTCTTTTTTTTTGCACTTAATAATATTTTCCCCCAATTATATGTAAAGATAGTTTTCAACATTTTTGTAAGATTTTGAGTTCCAAATTTTTCTCCCTCCCTCCTTGCTCTCCCACCTCCCCAGGAGAACAAGCAATCTGATATAGGTTACATGTACAATCACATTAAACATATTTCCACGATAGCCATGGTGTAAAAGAAGAATCAGAACAAAAGGGAAAACCCGTTAGAAAGAAAAAACAAAAACAAAACAAAAATAAAAATAGTATTCTTCAATCTTCATTCAGACTCCATACTTCTTTCTCTGGATGTGTATAACATTTTCCATCAGGAGTCTTTTGGAATTGTGTTAGATCATTATATTGTTAAGAAGATCTAAATCTATCATAGTTGATTATTCCACAATGTTACTGTTACTATGTACAATGTTCTCCTGGTTCTGCTTACTTCACTCAGCATCAGTTCATGTAAGTCTTTCCAGGTTTTTCTGAAATCCACCTGCTTATCTTATAGCACAATAGTATTCTTATAGCACAATAGCATTTAATTGCATTCATATACCACATCTTGTTCAGCCATTCCCCCAACTGATGGGCATCCCCTCAATTTACAATTTTTGGCCACCACAAAAAAAGTTGCTATAAATATTTTTGTATATATGGCTCATTTTCCCTTTTTTATGATCTCTTTGGACCTAGTAGCAGTATTGCTGGATCAAAGGGTATACACAGTTTTATAGTCCTTGGGCATAGTTCCAAATTGCTCTCCAAAATGATTGGATCAGTTCACAACTCCACCAACAATGCATTAGTGTTCCAATTTTCTCACATCTTCTCTAACATTTATCATTTTCCTTCTCTGTCATATTAGCCAATCTAATAGGTATGAGGTGGTACCTCAGAGTTGTATTAATTTATGTTTCTCTAATCAATACTAATTTAGAGCATTTTTTCATGTGACTATGAATAGCTTTAATTTCTTCATCTGAAAACTGTCTGTTCATATCCTTTGATCTTTTATCAATTGGAGAATGACTTGTATTCTTTTAAATTTGACTCAGTTCTTTATATAATTGAGAAATGAGGCCTTTATCAGAAACAGTGGCTGTAAAAATTGCTTCCCAGCTTTCTACTTTCCTTCTAATCTTGGTTGCATTAATTTTGTTTGTGCAAAACCTTTTTAATTTAATCAGTATTTTCCATTTTGCATTTCATAATGTTCTCTGTCTCTTGTTTCGCCACAAATTCTTCCCTTCTTCATAGATCTGACAGGTAAACTATTCCTTGTTCTCCTAATTTGCTTATGGTATCACCCTTTATGTCTAAATCATGTGCCCATTTCAAACTTCTCTTGGTATAGGATGTGAGAAGTTGGTCTATGCCTAGTTTCTGCCATACTATTTTCCAGTTTTCCCAGGAGTTTTTGTCAGATAGTGAGTCCTTACCCTAGAAGCTAGGGTCTTTGGGTTTATCAAATGGTAGATTACTATAATCATTTACTACTGTGTCTTGTGTACCTAATCTGTTCCACTGATCCATCACTATTTTGTAACCAGTATCAAATAGTTTTGATGACTGCTGCTTTATGATATACTTTTAGATCTGTTCTGGCTAGGCCACCTTCCTTTGCATTTTTTTCATTGATTCTCTTGATATTCTGGACCTTTTGTTCTTCCACATGAATTTTATTACTATTTTTTCTAACTCTATAAAATAATTTTTTGGTAGTTTGATTGTTTTGGCACCGAATAAGTAAATTAATTTAGGTAGAATTGTCATGTTTCTTATATTAGTTCAGCCTACCCATGAGCAATTGATATTTTCCCAACTGTTAAGATATGACTTTATTTCTGTAAAAAGTGTTTTATAATTGTGTTCATATAGTTCCTGGGTTTGTTTTGGCAGGTAGACTTCCAAATATTTTATATTGTCTACAATTATTTTAAGTGAAATTTCTCTATCTTTTGCTGCTGGGCTTTTTTTTTGGTAATATATAGAAATGCTGATGATTTTTGTGAATTTATTTTATATCCTGAAAGGTTGCTAAAGTTGTTGATTGTTTAAAGTAGTTTTTCAGTTGATTCTCTAGGATTCTCTACATATACCATCATATAATCTGCAAAGAGTGATAGCTTTGTTTCGTCATTGCTTAGTCTAATTCCATCAATTTCTTATTTTTACCTTATCACTAAAAATAACATTTCTAGTACAATATTGAATAACATTGGTGATAATGGGCATCCTTGTTTCACACTTGATCTTATTAGAAATGCTTCTAGCTTATCTCCGTTACATATAATGTTTGCTGATGGTTTTAGATAGATACTGCTTATCATTTTATGGAAAACTTCATTTATTCCTATGCTCTTTAGTGTTTTTAATAGGAATGAGTGTTGTATTTTGTCAAAAGCTTTTTCTGTATTTATTGAGATAATCATATGACTTCTCTTAGTTTTCTTCATGGTCAATTTTGCTGATAGTTTACCTAATCTTGAACTAGCCCTACATTCCTGGTATAAATCTCACCTTTTCATAGTGTATTATCCTTGTGATAAATTGCTGTAATCTTTTTGCTAATTATTTAAAATCCTTGCATCATTCATTAGGGAAATTGGTCTTTAATTTTCATTTTCTGTTTTGGCTCTTCCTGGTTTAAGTATCAGCATCATATTTGTGTCATAAAAGGAATTTGGTAGTACTTCTT